AATAGAGATATTTACGTATAAATAACCGGAATGGTCACTTTATCTTAATATTTAACTGCATATCTGCTCCTTGTGTTCAAAATTGTACAATTGTATAACTTAAAAGATAATGTTGCCTTAAATTTATATTTTATTTATTGTAAATGTAACTTTCAGCACCGCCGCGCGTCCAAATCCTGTAATTACATAACGATTAATTAGATGAATCTCTTTTATTATATCGGAAGCTGTGAAAAAAATCATTTGAAGATGGCAGAAAATGCAATGAGATTCGCATATAAACGAATGAATAAGGATGATATATATGTGTGTATATATATATATATATTTATATATATATATCTATATATATATATTATATATATATATATATAGTAATTTAATACATCAAGTGCAGAGGACACGACGACATTCCGCGAAGGGTTTTGAATATGAAGCAGTTTTAGGGGAAACGAAGCGCAACGCGAAGCTTTCCATTTACCTCCTGGACCGAACAGTGCTGCATAGCAAGGGTGATTGCAGTAGGTTTCCCTCGTGCTCGGCATGACCCCCGGGTGTTAGGGTCTTATTGCTTTCTCGCAGCGTAAACACGAACCGTGCCAATCTTTGCCTAAGGACGTCTTCCTCTCGGCTGCAACACAAGATGAATGTTAACGCGCGTCCCGGTGTAACGTAAAGGCGGTTCACCGCGGCGGAACTGGCCGCGCTTTCCATATTAAATTTTATCTTCCTACGCTAATGCGAAAACCACATTAGCGTATCGCTTCCTAAGCGCGTTTGTCGACGCAGCAAGAGTAATCACTGTGAAGGAAGCAGGAATTAGTGGTATACATATTAACTACAAAGGATGGGATATATCGAATGATAATGTTATTATTTAATACAATTTGCATATTTGCAATAGCAGGAATAAAATGAGATTTGAAAGAAAGTAATATTAAAATTTAATGACAAAATAATTTAGCTAAAACAGTATTGCATCGTTTATTTTCAGCGAAACTGGAAGTCCCAAGTGGATTGAATGCATCGTCTGAATTGTGGATGGTGAGAATGAGAAAGGTGGGTGAAACCTTTCCATTAGCATTTCGTAATTAGAAAATCCAATGTCAAAGTCCCGATGGAATCAATCGGCGTATGTTATTTATTACAGGTGCGAAAGCGAAAGATTCTGGGGGCGTATTTCACAAAGGATTTTGCATCGTTCGTAGATTCAAAAAAAAAAAAAAAAAAAAATCTTTACATCTCCCTCGTATACGAGTTACATTATACATATACCTCAGTTAACTCCCAGATGCATCTACGGAAATTTGCATCGGAATGTGCATACAAAAGATACATCCTCG